TTTATCCTGCAATCCAGTGTAGGCGATTCCCCTTGTTCCTCTTGTACCTCCTCGTAAGTGAATTGCATTACGCCAACTACTGAGTTTATATATGTGAGGAGACTGTTGATATGTTCTGATTTCAACACATTCGTGAATGTGTCATCCACATATCCCCATCATATCTCAGGTGCAGTATTAAACGTGTGTATGGACATGTTTTCCTATCTGCGCATAAATATATCTGCTACGATTGAGGACATTAGCAGATATCGAAGGTGCACCAAAGTTGAAAAAATATACCCGTTCGAATATTCTCCATTATTAACTGAGATATAGTAAAGATGTAATGTATTGGTTTAGGTACTCAGTTTTCAACAACTTGGTCACACTTTTAAACACTTTTCCCCTACTTTTACCATCTTGACAGTCATATGCTATCGTAAAGCATCAAAAATCCACGTGTACTTCAGTAGCCTGGCATACATAAAGCTTCTTGAGAACCAGGAAAGTGTACATTCCTGGACTCCCTTCCAGTAGAATCTCAGGGTATTTGGTTTGACCCCTAGTAAGGTCATGGGTGCCCTCTGCTAAAGAGTCCCTTACTTGAACGAAACAGCTGCCCAGTGCTCCCAAGTTCTCAATGGTTCTCTCCCAAATGATGCTAGTCCGTCACGAATACTATCTTGAAATCAATAAATCTCCACAAACCTCCTGATTTAATTACTTCACAATTGTTGGTGAGATTAACTGAGACAGCTATAGATTGCGAGACTGATATTTATGACATAGGATGGAAAGTGAAAGTGAAACAAAAAGCTTAGCTGCAACAGAACTCGAACAAGTGGTTAGACACATTGAACATGAAACATACTTCGCACTGAAAACAGCTTCTTGACATATTACAGAAAGCGTAGAGTGCGAGATTACAATGCCTAAAAACAGACAATGTATTCACCAGGCAACCTAAAGCATAAATAATTAAGGCGGCCTATTTTAGATGACTTTAAACGCCAACCTATCAAAAAATGAATGGATAAATAATTAATATTATTATCACTGGTCCCTTAGGTTCCTAGTGGAACATAGGGCTTCAGCTACACGTCACCATTTCACCCTGTCTTCTCTCCAGTCTTCTTAACCTAGCTCAACCATGCCCCATAAGCTCTCATTTCTTCCTAACAAGATCTCCTTCATCTCACTCTCGGGTCAGACGCCCAACTCGTCGTTTCACCTCTGGCTTCCATTCCATGACCTGGCCTGGCCTGGCCTGACCTGGCATGTGATGTCCCCAGTGTATGTATGTTTCAGTGTATGCCCAATCCAATACAATGCAATCCAATCTATCTCCACTTTCTTCTGTATGCTTGTTGGCTGATAGCTTCTTGGTTGGTTCGTTGCCAGCCAGCCAGCCAGCCAGCCAGCCAGCCAGCCAGCCAGCCAGCCAGCCAGCCAGCCAGCCAGCCAGCCAGCCAGCCAGCCAGCCAGCCAGCCAGCCAGCCAGCCAGCCAGCCAGCCAGCCAGCCAGCCAGCCAGCCAGCCAGCCAGCCAGCCAGCCAGCCAGCCAGCCAGCCAGCCAGCCAGCCAGCCAGCCAGCCAGCCAGCCAGCCAGCCAGCCAGCCAGCCAGCCACAGTTCCTTGTTGCTTATTCTTATTGTTCTCACCATCTAATCTTCAGTATCGAGTGGGCGGCGGCGGCAGCTGTTGATGATGTATGTCTGTAGTTTATCGGAAATGCTTTACGTCATGCACCAAGTCTCTCAACCATCACCTACAAGCACTGACTCACTTGACTGACGTTAGTGTTGGAAATGCGGATGTTGTTCACGCTTTATGCTGAATGCAGTTCAGTGGAGTGGAGTGGAGTGGAGTGGAGTGGAGTGGAGTGGAGTGGAGTAGATCCCCACACTGATTATTTCAGATTAATTAGGGAGGGTGTGTCTTTCTGATCGTGGCTTTGACATTGTCATCTGTGCCACCGCTGCCGCCACCACCTGTAGTTGAAACGATGCAGCCTTGCCTAGATTAGATAGGTGAAAGAGACTAGTTCCTTTACATTTCTCACATTGATGATACTTGTTTGTGCTTGTTGTTGTTGTTGTTTGGGTATCTTCATCACCTCTGTCTTATCTACTTTCACCTGAAGGAAATTTTGTCATTCGTTTACAACAAGAATGGATCTACGTTTTTCACATCCAAACACTAGACTAGTTCCTACTATGTCGGTAATGTGAAGCGAATCAGCCTGCTGTCTCTAATGTTCAGGAGTAAGACAAGGTTGCTTGCAATCACCCATCACCTTCCTGATTGTGGTCACTTGGACTGGACTGGACTGGATCACGCAACAGACAATTGTCAGGAGCTGTGAGAAGATGGGCATACGCTGTTTGACAAAAGAAGATTTGGATTTCGCCGATGATGATTTGTGTTTATTGTCTAGTAGCACGAACTCGAACATCTACAGGAGAAAACTAAGGAGTTGGCAGAAGAGGCGAATCAGCGAATGAAGACGACACTTCCTTCAGGTGAAAGTAGATAAGACAGAGGTGATGAAGATACCCAAACAACAACAACAACAAGCACAAACAAGTATCATCAAAGTGAGAAATGTAAAGGAACTAGTCTCTTTCACCTATCTAATCTAGGCAAGGCTGCATCGTTTCAACTACAGGTGGTGGCGGCAGCGGCAGCGGTGGCACAGATGACAATGTCAAAGCCACGATCAGAAAGACACACCCTCCCTAATTAATCTGAAATAATCAGTGTGGGGATCTACTCCACTCCACTCCACTCCACTCCACTCCACTCCACTCCACTCCACTCCACTCCACTGAACTGCATTCAGCATAAAGCGTGAACAACATCCTCATTTCCAACACTAATGTCAGTCAAGTGAGTCAGTGCTTGTAGGTGATGGTTGAGAGACTTGGTGCATGACGTAAAGCATTTCCGATAAACTACAGACATACATCATCAACAGCTGCCGTCTAAACGATAAGGAGGTCTGAGCTGGCTGGTAATGAACCAACCAAGAAGCTATCGCCCAACAAAACTGCAGAAGAAATTGTAGATGGATTGGATCGGACATACACTGAAGAGACCATTTGTTAACATTACTCGTTAGGCTATGGAATGGAAGCCAGAGGTGAAACGACGAGTTGGGCGCCTGAACTGAGGGTAACATGGAGGTGATCGTGTGGGGAAGAAATTAGAGCTTGTGGGCAGTGGCGGATTTAGGTTAAGAAGACTGGAGAGAAGAGAGAGCGAAATGGTGACCTGTTGCTGAAGCCCTATGTCCCACTAGGAACCCAAGGGATAAATGATAATTATTAATCTCTAATGTAGCTCATTATCGACTGAGGTGGCTTAGAATTGGGCTGCGTATGGTTAGCCACCCTTTGCCTCGAATCGCAATACTAGGGGAAGTTGAATTAGGTTGAAATATGTTTCAGTATTGCCTGACCGTAGAAGTGATATTAGTGCAGGAGGTTTTGGACTTTTTCACTGAGCGATGCAGTGGGATGTATACTACTTAGATGGGGTGCTTTGAAGCCACAGGATTCAGTGGTTGAGAACTATTATTGACATGACTCAAGATCGTTCTTAATGGTGGAGATGTATTCAATTATTGATGTCTTCTAAAGCTCGAATGTTTTTAAATTCCTTGTTCTCGCATATACTGACAATAAGATACCCACTGAATAAAAGGTGATTGGTTAGATATAGCTATGTTGTCTGACATGATATGTGTTCAATCCAAGTCCTAGTAACGAAACGATCACTCCTACCTGATGCGCCGTGCGTAGGACGAAAAATGCAATGTAGATTCTGCTGTTTGTCATTACCAAGCAAATAATAGCTTAGACAATATCAATCTAGACAGAAATGAGCAGAAAGAATGCTGATATGTCTAATCTTTGGTACACTTCTCAGCAGTATAGTAAATCACGAAACTGCTTCCTTATATATATCCCTAATGTTCCTAGTGGAACATACCGCTTCAGCAGCGTCTCCAGTGTACTCTCTTCTCTGCAAACTTTTGAACCTGGTTCCATGACAGCCCACAAGCTCTCATTTTTTCCTCACACAATCTCCTCCATGTCACCCTTACCACAGATGCACAACTCGTCACTTCCCATCTGGGTTGCGCTCGATGGCCTGGTGCATGATATCCCCAAATAGTCTTCTCAGTGTACGTCCAATCCATCTCCACTTCCTTCTGCATATTTGTTGACCTATAGGTTCTTGATTAGTTCGTCAACAGCCACATTTCCTTGTTACGTATTCTTTCTGGCCATCTGATCTTCAATATCGAGTGAGCGTAGGTGGCAGTTGTTGATGAATATCTGTAGTTTGTTGGAAATCCCTTTCGTAACGCGCGAAGTTTCTGAACCATATAGTAGCACTGACTTGACTGACGTTGGTGTTGTAAAGCTGGATCTTGTTTCACATGCTGAGTGCAGTACAATAGATCTCCACGCTGATTTCAGGTTAATGAAAGCCTGTCTTGCTTTTCCGATGCTGGCTGGTTTTGACATCGTCTGTGCCGCCTATAGTTGAAACAGCGCTGGCTAGGTAGGTGAAAGAGGCTACTTCCTTTAAGTTTCTCCCACTGATGGTGGTTGAAGCCTGCTGCTGTTGATGGAATCGGTTGGGTATCTTCATCACTTCTGTCTTCTCTATATTCACTTGAAGTGCCGTCTTCGTTGCCGTGCCTCTTCTGTCAACTTATTAGTTTTCACCTATAGATCTTCAAGTTTGTGTGACATTAGACACAAGTCCTCGTTGACGAAATCCAAATCTTCTTCTGGGTCCAATATATCCTGCTTCCGTATATAACTAAGACGAATAGTCAAAGATTTCAGATGTTTATATCATTTCGTGGTATAATCAATCTCAGATTTCTATACTTGTTGCACACTGAGTGTCAATATTTTATTGTTTCACAATGAGATTACCCCTACATTATTCACCCATTGTTGTTTTTTTTTAAATGTTGTTTATTATTATTTGTTATTCAGGCTATACATTTAATGGTTGGTGATATTGATGAGAAAAATGATAAGACACCAAGTGAACGTACAAAAGCAATTTTTACTAAAATGGATATTAATTCAGATAGTGTTTTAACAAAAGAAGAATTTATACAAGGTTGTTTAAGTGATGAACACTTGTATCGACTACTTGCCCAAAATGATGGTCAAAAATAGTAGATAAACTTATGATATATGCACACATATTCGGTTTTTTTTTATTTTGAAAAAAAGTACTGACAGTAATAATAATAATAATAATAATGTTGAATACGTTTTATACTATTGTTTTTTAAACACCTGATTGGATGTTGTTAATCTGCCTATATCTTTTCCACCAATCATTTGAATGATATAGTGGTCTGACAAAATGAAGACTGATGAATTTGATTGGTTAGTCATACATAATTAAATGTATTTGACATTAATCACTTATCAGGTCTATGATAATTTTTACAATCTGTATATGTATATATATATGATATTGTTATTCTGTTCAACTAAATAAATAGTTTAGTATCTACCTAAGTCTTCTTTTTTTTTCTTCTCATGTTTATTCGTTTAAAGTTCAATAATTTCACTTTCATAAATTGTCACTGTTTAACTGACTTGTCTCAGTACACGTTTTCTTTATTATTATTATTATTATTATTATTATTATTATTATTATTATTATTATTATTATTATTTATCCCTTGGGTTCCTAATGGAAAATACCGCTTCAATATCATGTCGCCATTCGACTCCCTTCTCTGCAAACTTTTGAACCTGATTTTACGACTGCCCATAAGCTCTCATGTCTTCCTTGCACCATCTCCTCCATGTCACCCTCACCTCAGACGCCCAACTCGTCGCTTCCCATCTGGGTTCCACTCGAGAGCCTGACGTGTGATGTCCCCAGTCGGCCTTCTCAGTGTATGCTCAATCCATCTCTACTTTTTCTGCATATTTGTTGGATGATAGGTTCTTGGTTGCTTCGTTCCTAGAGTTACTTGTTGCTTATTCTTATTATTCTATCCATCTGAGCTTCAGTAAGGACCAGCATAGGCGGCAGTTGTTGATGAGTGTCTGTAGTTTGTTGGAAATCCCTTTCGTAACGAGCCGCCAAGTATGTCAAACATCAAATAGAAGTACTGACTTGACGCTGGTGTTGAAAAATCTGGATCTTGTTCACATTTTGTGCTGAGTGCAGAAGATCTTCACACTGGTTTCAAGTTAATGAACGCCTGTCTCGCTTTTCAGAATTCCCGCTTTGACATCCTCGTCCGTCCCTGTGCCGCCTGTAGTTGAAACGATGCTGTCTTGCTGACGTAGGTGAAAGAGGCTACTTCCTTTAAGTTTCTCCCATTGATGGTGATTGGTGTTTGTTGTTGTTACTTGTTGAGTATCTTCATCACCTCTGTTATCTCTACATTCACTTGAAGTGCTGTTTTTGTTGCCCTGCCTATTCAGTCAACTTGTTAGTTTTCGCTTGTAGATCTTGGAGTTTGTGTGACATTAGACACAAATCATCGGTGAAATCCAAACCTTCTTCTAGGTTCTTTTTCGCCGTCCAGTGTATCCTCCTTTTCTCGCTCCTAACCGTTTGATGCATGATGCAGTCGACCACAATCAGGAAGATCATCGGTGATACTAGGCGGCAACCTTGTATTACTCCTTCCTGTCTTCACTTCAAAGGTATCACTAACCTTTCCGTTGTGAATTACTTGGCATTTAATATTTTGTTTGATAGCATTATTCTGTCAAGCTATTATTCCTAAAATCATCCTTCTTTGCTGTTATAAACACCTTTCTAGCGTTTCATAAGCCATATGATCGTTTAAATAATCAACAATTTTGCTGAAGTGAATCCCAGAAACATTTCCATATGACTTTTCCCAATTGACTGCCTCAACTGTTTAATATCATTAACAAATTGACCAATAAAATCTCAATATTATTGACGAATAATTTCTCAATATGCATACATATATCGTTACTAGTTTTTCTTCCTTCTTCTCTCAAGACTGAATTCTCATTGGTTGTTAACTGTATGTGGATATGCTGTTGTCAAGGTCATTTAGAAATATATATATATATATATATATATATATATATATTCAGCATCACTGTTAACTGATTCTCGTTATAGTCGATTCGTTTGCATGTAAGGTTCGTAGTCTGCTAGGTTTGTAGATTGTTAAGTTGTACAAGCGGCCATAACATATAACTTTAGGAACTGAAGTAGTCACTGAAATGACTTTTGAAACAAAAGATGTATAAATTGAGATTGAGCAGATATGGTGAATGAAATCATCGAAACATTAATGTGTGCAAGCTAATGCCAAAGCTATATGCCTGGGAGTAAATATCTAGGATGCTTCATTCGTTTAATTTAGAACTTGTCAGTCAAAGGTATCAGTATTTCAATGGTTGGTGGAGTTCCAATTGGAAATCACACGCAGTACTCTCATTGTGACCGATTTTCAAACATCTCAATTAGAGTCTGCAAAACACTGATTCTTATCATCTTGACGAACCTAGTCAGGTAGTTTACATCTCCCCACAAGGTTTACACCAACAGTAAGAGACTTCATCGACTGCTGTCACGTTTTCATCTGGCTACCTTGAACCCTCTTCCAAACCTATCCAACTTCTATCAGTGTATGACGTCGAGGTAGGTGGGAGCTCGGCATGCACAGTAAATGTCGAAGCCATTTCAGTCGCCTAAGGTTCACAACATCATCAATCGATTAGCCTATCTTAACTACTACCCTTCTTCTGACCACGACATTCCTCATACATTGAGTTCACCAAACCCAAGCAATGCTTCGAAGACATCTGTGATCAAAACCCAGTTAACGCTTCACTTCTTCAAATTTTAACTGCCATGTTTCGCAGACAAAACGAACGGCAGTGCAGCACACTCGTCCTTTGATAGATAGCCACATATCTCTTCGACGCCACAGGTGAGGTAAACTGGCAAATGCCAACCGGTCTTGTGTTTCCGAGCTGAGATTTAGCTGGCAACCAACCCGTTCAGGCTGATGCGAATCCTTCAGTATGTACAAAATCGTCGACGTATTCCACCACTTAACCACCTATCATTAAATTGGGAGTATTTGTAGCGTCATCTTACAACTGACAGATGACAGTGAAACGCGTCCCAAACATACTTAGATTTCTATTCAAGTCATTCAGAACACTCTGCATTTCGTCAGCTCCTTCACCTAACAGGACAATATCGTCTGCATACTCAAAGGAGTAGATCTTTGTGAAGTCACACCTACCGACGTTAAGTCCCTTATTGCGTCCATGACGAAGTTAAATAGAAACGGTAACAGTGGGCAACCCTGACGAACACTACTAGTTGTTGTCATTTCTGAAGACAACACTCGATAAGCTCCTACACGGTTGAATGAACTCGAGTAGACAGCTTTGATTAGTTTCATACTCTTGCTCGGTACACTAGTTACAATCAGACACAGTTACACACCTGAAGATCGACTGAATCAAATGTCGCCTTAAGATGAAAAAAATATGGGAGCTACTGGCTGCTGGCTCGTAGGTATGCCTAAGTGCCACAACCTATCGGGGAGAGGGAGCGAGAAAATATGATCGATGCACCTTTGTCGCGCTGTCTGAAACCTGACTGGTTTTCTTGAGTTCCAGTTAAACACCAGTTAACTATGGACCGTAGAATCTTCCACACAATATCAGTCAAACCAATTCCCATATGGTTATTGAAAGAAGACTTCTCTCCCTTCTTGGTCGGTAGGTATGTCTGTGTGCCACAACCCATCGGAGGGTGAAGATTTGAACCATGCACTCTCGTCCATGTTTCTGAAACCTGACTGGTTTTCATAGATAACTATTGACTGTAGGATCTTGCACATAGTATTAGTCTAACTAAGTCTCCTATGGTTGTCAAAAGGAGACTTCTCTCCCTCCTTATAGAATGCGATGATCAGCTAAGTACACCAGTCTGACGGTATTAACTCCGATTCCCACACATTACCTAGCACATATGTTACTCTTGGTATCCCTAAAAACTTCAGGGAGAAGCGATCAGGTCCTGCTGCCTTGCTTCGTTTCAGATTCGATACACCTTTCTCAACTTCAAGCGGAGTTGGACCACCGACATATACGCCTCATTCAGGTTCGGGCTAGATGTTGGGCAACTGATGGGTTGTTGAGGCCCAGATGAAATGTCATTCTAAGTGTTCTGCCCAACGTTCTAGCCCCCTATCCTGAGACGTTATCAGTGTCCCATCCTTTACAGTGACCGTTCCACTCACTATCGTCTTCTTCTTGTCTATATCCTCAATAAGCTTAAACTGTTGCCGAGTGTTATCCAACACTGATGCCTTCTCCATCTCTGTCATTTTCCCCACTCACCACTACTCGTGGTCAACATACATTTGAGTTATTTTCACTCTTTGTCGTGGTCACACACAGATGGAGTCAGTCTTCTCACATCAATCAGTTCGGATGACATCACGGAAATCCAATGATGTTTGATAACCTTCATGTGTATGTTGGTTACTAATTGTCCTTAATGCTATTTCTACAGCAGACATAAGATTACGTCAGGTTTCCTCAAGACGAGGATTCCTGGTTATGTTCAGATAAATGCTCAGCTATCTCTTCCCTAATTTCGGACTTCATAATCTCATCTTCCAATCGAGCATAGAAAGGCTTTGCTACCTGTTTTCTGTGACGAGTAAGGTGAAAACATGTGCAGGTCTGTACCAGCGCGTCATCGGAGTCCAAACTTGTACTTCAGAAAGAGCGGTAATCATCCTCCTATCCTCTATATCGATGGGTTGTAGCTGTGTGGTCTGTATGTGTCTGTTGCTCGTTTGAAGTCGGTGGACGCCATGTGAGACATTGTATCCTTATGCTCAAGTTTAGTGCTGGACAGAAGAAAGTAAATTTTGTAACAAGATTGCGGTGGACGATCATCGTTGTCATGGTATTCCATGAATACCTCCCAAATACCCTTCTGATTGGCTCAACTTGCCTACGTAAGCGTGAATGTCGCCTGCCGTTATGATTACATCTGAAGGTGTTTTTTCTGTAGCTTATTTGATAGTTCTTCATAGAATTCATCTTCTGCATCATCCCAGCTACCGTCTATTGATGCGTAGGCGGAGATTACCAATAGCCATCGGCTGATCTCGCGATCCTTCCTTGTA